TGCGTAAGTTGTTTTGCGCAAGTAGCTCTTTGCAAATTGCCCTCGCGTCGCTCTGTGTAGTCTGCTCTGTGCCAGTTGCTCTGTGTAAGCTGCTCTGCGCAAGTTGCTCCGCGCAAGTTGGTCCAAGGGCTCCGCACAGAAGAACCCTTCGCGATGCTTTCCATATAATGGGATAATAAGCCACCAACCAACTGCTCATCCATCCACAGTACTTCCAGGCTAGCTAAGCTCACAAGCAGCAACTAGGTGAAATTGTTGGGAAATCGCCATTGGAACCCAAAATCGGGACACCCGCTTCTTGGTGGCAGGTGCTCCTTTGATCTTGGTGGCTTAGTTATCCGGTTGAAGATCCAAATGCGCAGCGGTGGGTAAGGTCTTGTGACACCACCGAGAGACCACTAGCACAGGGACACCCTCGGGCGATCTCGGCACTTTGTGGGCAATGTCGGCTTCCCTCCAATTGCTGGTCTGGAGCCGAATCAGTGGTTTGGTGGAGGAGGGGTTTCCCATCTACTCTCTACAAGAACCAGGGACCTGTTCAAATCCCCAAACCACCAACCAGGGGGAAGCTGAAATAGGTTGTTTGAGCCCATGGACGCAAATTGGGGAAAAGCTGACATCTTGTTTGCGCAGTGTGCTGGTGGTGGCGGTCCCTGATTCTTCGGTGTCCCGGTGGGTAGCCAAATGGCTGTGAGCGTTGCTATTTTGCTATTTTGGTCGCAGGCAGGGTTAATTTGGTGGGTTAGCTAACCTTACAAGCAAGAACAACGAAACCCACCTCCCCACCTGTTCGTGGTCATGACAGCCAAGCAACTGCGACCAATCGGTCGCCATCCTGCACGCCTGCCTCACGCAAAGCAGCGGGCGGTTCAACCCATGGTGTCAACATGTCATGTTTCAGGCACCAACTGTTCAATCAAAACTCCTGTTGCTTCCCCTCCAGGCAACCAGGTAACCGGGTAACTAGGGCTCAGTCGGTCAACCAAGCATTTTGCCGCACCCCGCCTCACGCAGACTGGACCCCAACTCCAGCTGCTGCCCTGCTGATCCAAGGATCCGCAGGAAGCGGCGCTGCAGCTGCCCTTGCGCGGCAGCCTTCAGCTCTTTGACCAGTGACTCTGAGCCGCACTCCAATGTGCAGCTGCTGCCGCTTAGAAGGTGCACCTCCAGCTTCATTGCCAATGCTATGCGTCTAGCACCGAGCCAAAGGTTGAACTCGCGGCTTGCTTTTTCAGATGGGGGCTGTGCTTTTTGCGTTTTCTTGTTTTGAGGGCACCCTTTTTGGGGTTGCTTCAAAAGGTAACCAAAAGGAAAAACCGCCATTTCGTGGGCCCCCCTAGTTTCACTCATAAGTAGTGATTCGTAGCGACTGTTTTCGGGGCCATTCAGCACCAAGGGCGGGGCGTTCTCATCATGGCCCCTCTTGCGACTTGCGAGTTGGCTCATCACTCGTTTCCTGTGGAGGTCGACTCGTTGCCATCACATCTTCGTTTTTGTTTCGAGGTCTTGGTGTCCCGAATCGATGAACCTGCGTCAGGTAGGAGACCCTTCTAGGGGTTGAGTCCTTTTCCATTCTGTTCAACCATCGTTCTTTTCAAACACCGGATCACCGTTTTCCCTTTCCCTGGGTGTCCGGAGGCTTCGCACCAAGCATCCCTGGGCTCAGAACGGAAATGGAAGGTGCCCCTAGAACCATGGCCTCTTTTCCGGGCGTAGTCGCAACCTAAACCAACAGGGCCCGGGCCCGGACGGATTTCCGCCAGTCCGTTTTTCGCCCTGACACCGTTCAGCCGAGGAAAAAAAAAGAAGAAGCCGCACCCAGGGCGGTTTATCAACAAGGCGTGCTTGGCATGTCAAAAGCCGATCGGCGGGAATGGCTCTGGCCGGGAAATCGGACCAAACGCCCGGCCACTGTCGGACTCCTGCGGGTGTTTTTTGGAAACTGGTTTCTTCGGCCATGCGGATGGCGAAATACATTTCGCCCCTAAGAAACCCTGGAATGATTCCATTTGCAGATTCTCGGGTTTTTGTCCATGCCCATTTGTTTGGCCCTCACATGAGTCACGGTCAGAATATCGGGTGTTGGGTGGTTTTTCAACGCAGCATTGGCCTTCGGTGCAAGCTGTGACCCGTTTTTTTGGACATGGGTCTCATGACATGAGCATGAGTTTTAATTAGGGACCCTTTGGTGGACATCATCTAAGTGCGGATTCATGTCCCCCAACCACTTTTGAGTTGGTTCCCTTTTGCTTCTTCCGACGTTACCCAAACCTTCCTCGAATCCGAATTAAACCTCTTCGAGGTCGATACCTTCTTCAAACCACCCCGGGAAACACGGGGGATACAACAAAGGGTACATATCTCCATGTGTTCTTGGGGCGGTTTGGGGTTTCTAGCTGTTGGTTGCCAGGGAGCCAAGGAGCTGGGGCTCTCCATTTTTTTCTTCTAAACAGGGAGCTAAGGAGCTGCCAGGCTGTTTCACTTCTGGGCGACCCCGAACCGGGCTGTGGGCTTCCGGCCGTACTTGCCGAAGAGCAACAGATTGTCCACGCAGATCAGCACCTGGGCGAATGGAGAATCCACAAAGGACATGGAAAAAACCACGGGGTTCCTTGGCCTGGAGGTGGATACGTGGCGACCCGCAGCCTCCTCTTCTGAAATGGGAGCTTTCTTTCGGTGTCCATTTCCGCTCCTGGGGGATTTGGTGGTTTTCCGGAAGCATCGTCTCCGTACGACAGCTGCAAACAGACCCACACACCCACACCCACTGCATAGAAGAAGTCACTGCACACGTTCTCCGAAAAGAGTACATGAATCAACCCCCCCACCCCCAACAAAAAAAAGGGGCGGCGGCCTTTCTGATTATTTCCTCTCAACCAGCCCTCCCCCCGCCCCCCCAAAAAAAAGAAGAACAAAAAAACGCATCTACCCACCTAAGGGGCATGGCACGCTTCGCACGCAAGTCCACGCAAGCGTCCGAGGCACGACGAAGGTCAGGCCGAACACCACCCAGTCCACCAGGTCCTGGCGAAACGGGGCTTGAAGGCCCGAGCCGCGGAGGCTTCGGTTGGTCGGAAGGTCGGAAAGCCGAGGCGCTTGGGGCGAACTACTGGTGGGCGCGAAATCCAGAAATCGCACCACTTGGAAACCAGGGTTGAAACCCTAAGGCTTGTTGGTATTTACAGGGGAATCGAATCATTCCAGGGTTTCTTAGGTGGTGCGAAATGGATTTCGCAACCATCCACAGGAGGAAACCGAAAAGGTGAGAAGATCACAGTCGCGCTACGAATTAAAAATGCTTCGGCCTGGACGCGATCAGGTGACCTGGTACTTCATTTCGTGGCCCTTCCCCCAAAAGGATCGCCTTCTCGGGCCGGAACTTTCTGGGGAGGGGGGGGGGGGGAGGGGGGGCCTGGGGGGGGCTTGCAAGCCAACGAATCCACCTTCGCCCGACGTGGCACGCTGGGGAAACCCACAACATTGAGATCTTATTTCGCGTGCAAGGCCGAACAGCATCAAGAAGGTGTGTTTGCTTGAAAGAAGGAGCCGGCGCCATGAAGTTCACTGAGGAACCACCTCCAAAAGGCTTGGCGGAGGATTTTTAGCTGTACCTGTTAACATTCATGCCCAAATGCGGGTCCGTTTGTTAGATCACCTCCACCAATCATGAAGGCAAGGTCTTCTACGTCTAAATGTGCTGTCTCGAGAATGTTGGCTTCTGAGTTTGCCCAAACGCACTTCCTGAGTGACAACCTTATGAAAACAAAAAGGAAAAAAACGTGTTTTTTGCTTGTGACCAACAATAAGTCTTCCCAGAAAGCATCGAGTCCACCCTGAGGGAGCGACCAGGAAATCTTCACATCTCGAGGGCTCTCAAAGGCGGAAGTCCTCTTGCCGGAAGAGCGTCACAGTCTCCGGCTTAGGCCTTGGCTTTCCAAGGCGCGGTTTTCAAGCGGAACTCGGTTGCGAAATCTGCGCTCCGCCCTGCTTTAGTGGTTTAATTGGAAAACCCATTATTTGTCCTAACATCCAAGCAACATGCATCAAAGGGAAGGCTTTGGTCTTACCTAGGTCCTCCAGATTTGAGAGCTTAGAATAAGTTGGTACCCGATTTGTTTTTCGGTTTTGTCTATTTTAGTAAGGGAACACTCCCCTAAAAAAGGGGAAAGAAGGGCGGGCACCACTGGGGGACCTAGTTACTGTTCCTTGGGTGACCTGGATGTGACCCGTTGAAGGGGCAATGACAGAACCCGGATGCTGCCCAGGTGATACCCATTGAAGAGGTAATGACACATGGGATGCTCCACAGGTGATCTTTTTTCCTTTGCAGCTGGAACCGTTTCTTTGAGCAGGCCTAGGGTTTGAATAGGATCCACCCCTCATAGAAACCAGCAGAACTCTGCACAGGCAATCTGCCAAACACTCACCGAAAACTAGAAGATGGGTCCGAAAGCAGAGTTCACCGAGTTATATGCCAGACACATGTGATCACAACAACCACAAAGTTCTCTCAGCAAGCTTCTCCACAAATGTGGCTCTGCGAAAAAAAAGTTCGCTTGAGCTCGGGGGGCTCCAAAATGGCTTCCTTTGGTTTCCCTTTAGACTCTAAACCACACAACCACTTGGGTATGTGTCAAAGCTGGGGACCCGCAAAATGCTGGCTTTCTCATTGGCTTCCCTTGAGACTGACCTTGCAAAGGAGTGCCCTCCACCAACGCACCTCGCTTGAGTGGATGGCCTAAAAAAAAGGTTCAAACTGGTTATGTACCACTCACTGAAGTGGTCTTCCCACAAACTAGGTCCTCCAGTAGAGAGGGTACCAACTTTTTTCTGTAGTCTATTCTAGTAGGGGAACCCTCCCAACCAAAAAAGGGGTAGAGAAGGGCACCAATTGCTGGGGGGCCTAGCAAAGTTCAAAGTCCGAAACGGAACTTGGGGAGTGAGACACAGACACAGGCACCCCAAGTTGCACGCGCTCCCTTCGCGTCTGATGCTCTTTTTCACAGCGGGTCGAGGCGTGCCTTCTGTGCCTGGCTCGCCGTGGGTCGCCGTGGGTCGGCCCCGGCCGGGATGTGTTCCTTCAAAGGGAAACGGAAAGGAAGCCCAGCACCAGGGGACCTTCATTTTGAGAACGACCCAAATTCATGCGTTTGTTATCCATGTTCAGTGATCCATCGTAAGTGGGCCTTCACATGTCAAAAGCATGTCAAGTTCGACATTCCAGTTGTTTGGTGCTGTTCTTTGGAAGGCAATCCAATAGAAAGCCGACCCCGATATTGCAACAAATCTCGGTTGCTTTCTGCTCCAGTTTAACTTTTAGTGGTTTAATACGGAAAACCCATGAGTTGGCAAAAAGTTGTTCAGTCCTAACAGCCCTCGGCAAAATGCACCAAAGAAATGGCGATGGCCTGTGCATTTGTTTGACCGAATCGGAGTAAAGAGGGTCCTCTCGGGTTGAGCCAAGCCCTCTCTGGGCCTCTGGGGGTAGAAACGGCCCTTTGCATGGGGTGGACCGGGGTGGACCATTGGGGAAACCGCCCCAAAAGGTACGACTTTCGCCCACCGAAATGGCGGAAGAGTTGCTCATGGTCATTTTGGGGGCCAGGAATATTGATCACCCCCCAAAGATTCAAACCTTTGCTGAAGAAAAGACTTCTTTGGTAAGAAACCAGGGCGATGCCAAACCCTACTTGCAGCAACCCCCGAAAGCTGAAACACAAACTCACCCAATTCCTTTTTTCAAGGGAACAAACCCTACCCCCAGCAACCCCTGAAAGCCCAAAAAAAAACACAAGGGGCCAACAGCTTTTTCAAGGGAACCGAAGCCTTCCCCCCATAGGAAACTGGGTATGTCCGCCTGTTCCATCCCATCCACGCCTTTCGCTGGACCAGCTCGAAGTCGCAAAGCACGCCGTAGTGGTCCTCAAGCCCCGATGAAAAACACCAGAGCGTGGGTCGTTTTGTTTCTTTGGGGTCTGCATTTGTTGAGGGTCGTGTTACTTTTGTTCGAGGGCACCCTTTGCTTGTGGTCTTAAAGGGAAACCACAAGAGAAACCTCCATGTTGAGGGTCCCCCTTAAAAAAAAAAAACACGTGTGAGCGACTGTTGAAATCACATACGTCTATGGGATTTCTTGTGGCAGGTTCGAAGATTCGAACAACTTGCTAGTGCTCAGCAGGGAATGAGGGAATGAAGCTGGGGGCAAAGGAAACCATAGGGGATGGTTTATTGGGGCATTCCCTCATTCCCTGCTGAGAACCACCAAGACCAGTCGGCAATTTTACGTCAGGTGATGGGGATTTTCCAACCGACCAAGTGTCCAAGCTTGGCCACCCTTGCCTAGTTCCCTTGGAATTTCACGTGTTGAAAGGGTTAAGTGTAGCAACATGAAGGACTTAAGCGTTGACAACACTGTTATTCCTCATGTTTATGTCCCTTGAACGAAAGCCGGCTTTCAGCAAATTTCGCCCACCCTGTCACACACAAATGGGGGGGCGCCTTCTTTTGAGGGCATCGGTTTTTTGGGGTTGGCTTAAGGGAAGCCAAAGCCTAGGTCCTCCAGTTGAGAGGTTAGAATAAGGGTAGCCTTTTTTCTCTAGTCTATTCTAGTAGGTTTGAACCCTCCCCCCAAAAAAGGGGCAGAGAAGGGCACCAAGCTGGGGGGACCTGGTGGTATGCAACCGGCGTTGATCAAACCCATCCCCAAAAACCCCCCGACGGAAGGCTCGTTGTCTCAAGAACCCCATCGGTTGGGGTGTCCAATTTTCCTTTTCGTGGTCGGACTCAGCCCACTCTTGGGGCAGTTTTCGCCCCCCTAAGAATGGGGCGAAAAGGGTTGAGACAAATTCCTGGGTCAACATGACCCTCACAAGAAAAGACGGGGTTTTTGTCTGGTGAAGCCCAAGGATCCCCAGCAGTTTCCATGAGGACCCACCCGAGCTCGCTGGCTGAGTGGATGGCCCAAAAAAAGTCCAAACTTTATATTTACCACCAAAATGATCTTCACAAAAAAGTGTACAGTTCATGAACTCAGGAAGCGAGTTTAAGGGAAGCCAAAGGAAACCCCCCGGTGGCGTTTCGGGCATCGTCTGGCCGAGGCGCCGAGGGCCCACGGCTGAGCGCCGGCTCGCCCGGGAGCAGGGGGATCAGGGCCGGCCTCGGCTTCGATCTTTTCGACGGAAAACGGCGCCGCCCGTAGGTGTCCTTTTGGAAAAATAGATGGGCTTCCCTGGCAAATGGAATCCAACCCATCCAAACCAGGGCCTTCTATTCTTAACCAAACCAGCCAAAAACAAGGACACCTTCGCCTCCTTTCGCGGCGAAGTTTTTGAGCCAACGCAGGTGGGTATGAGCCAAAATTTGGCCACCAGGTGACAGGTCTCAGTTTTTCCTGGTTCCATTTACCAGGGTAACCCATTTGGGGTACCTATTTTGACCCACAGCCATGTGAGCGACCAACCCCCCCCCCCTTGTGGCCATTTCACTGGGTCCGAGCGGATTTTGGGGGGTCTTAGTAACGTCTCTCATGACCCGAATGGTAGACCCAGACGCTGAGCCAGGGAATGAGAAGCTCATGACCCCTGGAAAAACCCTCCCCCCGATTTGGTTTCCTTCAAGGGAAGGAGACTCCAGCCCCTGCTGAGCACCAGCGTCTGTGTCTGCCATTTGGGTTATGAGAGCGCTACTAAGACCCCAAAATCAGCTACGACCACCTGACATGGCTCCTCCCTTGTTTGGAGTGTTCAACCCATACCCCCTTTCCTTTCCAATTCAAGCACATAAAAGTGGAAACAATGTTATTCCACAAGTTGCGGTATATTTAAAAAAATGGACTGGCATTGAGGATCCATAACAAGAGTGCTTCAAACACCCTGCCCCAGGGGTAGAAAGAAACTTGGCCACGGCAACACATCCTTGATTCGTGCCCAAATATTTCGTGCACCTCAAACATGTAATAGCCCCGAAACAACCTCTTCCCACCCCACCCCAGCCCAGCCCACCCCACCCCACCCCCACCCCACGCCGCCCCCACCCCCACCCCACCCCCCCACGCCGCCCCACCCCCGCCGTCGGCCACGAGCTGCCGCTTCGCCCCACCAGGTCCCCGACATCTCCGGGTCAGTGGCCTCGCTCGAGGGCGAGGAGCCCCGGCGCGCCGCGGCCGGCGAGCTCGCCGGCATGCTCGCGGCTTCCCCTGCAAAAGCGCGCTGCGGTTTATGGACGAGATCCTGGGCAATGATTTGGTCATTGTTTACGTTCATTATTTTTATGTCTCTCAATCTACTTTGCTTTATTTGTTTATTCATTTACTTGTCTGTTTCATTTAAACAAAATGAGCAGGTGTTCCCAACGCAGACCAGGGGGAACAAAAAACCGACCGCCTCGCCCTTTGCCTCGATCTATTGGCTCGGTGCCCAAGAGCTCCACTCGCGTGGGGACCAGGTGCCAAGCACCGGCTCCTGGCCAGGCGCGCGCTGGCGCGCGCTGCCAGTCGCTTAGATGCCCCAGTGGATTTTTTTTCCAAGGGGAAAAGAAGAGCGTCTTTTGTTTGGGGGGGGAAGGGTTTCTTTTTGGGGCAGGGTTGGGTTTAAAGGGGAAGCCTTCCAGAAAAAAGAAGAAAATAAGGAACTGGGGTAGGGAATACGAGGGTTGGAATGCGACTTATAAACCAAGCCACTGGTTTCCTTTAAGGGTAAAGATGAGGCAAGTTGAGACAAGCGAACACCTTTGGTCCTTTTTGATAGACATCATTTGCCGCGTGATCTCGCACCTCTCGCTGAGGTGAAACTCCTAAAGTCGACGGATCAACTGTAAACCTGCATTTTGTTCGTTTGCTCGTTGGTAAGTGGGTGGTAAATGGTCATCCAATATCATCCATTCCCTGCTCGTTGCGATCCGTCCCTTAAATCCAGCCGGATACCATGCCCATACTTGAGCCCAGAGATTTATTCCAAACCCATGGCCACAACCTCCAAGCACAGGCTTTCGCCGTGGAAATTACGACTTACGCCGTTCTCGAAAAGCAAAATGGCTGCTTCCCAACAAACCAATCAACCAACCAACCAACCAACCAACCAACCCACCCACCCACCCACCCACCAACTCACCCACAACCAAATACTAGCCCCCCCCCCCCAGTCAAAAAAAAGACCTGTGACGCCTTTCTCTATGGGAGCGCACCTCCCTTCCCAAGCCCTCGCTCCCACCGCTCCTGACGCAGCCAGCACCCGGTCCAGGCGCGCTGGACGGCCGTCCGCATCGGAACGCGGCATGGTGCCTCGGAACGCAGACACCAGAAATCTCACCTCCCGAGGTCTTGAGCTCCAGAAAAAAAAAGGGGGAGGGGGGGGGGGGAAAAAAAAAACGACTTGGAGGCGCTTCTGGCGGAAATTTCACCTGCTCTTCCCCCTCTAGGAAATCTTTTTTAGTTCTTGAGCGGATGGGCAAAACGGCCCGAGAGAATTGTTGTTGTTTTCTTTCAGGATCTCAAGAGAGTCTATTGCTCTGCTGCGGATGTGCCATGGTTGCTTGACTGTCTTCCAGGAACGAGGCCAGAGTCCCAGAGAAATCCAGCGCCTGCAATGACCGTGTCCCTTTCAAGCCAACAGGGAACCAAAATATCGACCGTTGCAAACGGAAGTAGACGAATCCCTCGCAGATGGACTTGGAGAACCCAAGATACCATCCATGGTTCGAGGAATCCCCCCTTTTTGCGAACACAAGCTGGCTTCCCTTCAGGGCAGCCGCTTCCCTGTGCTCCATGGACTCGCAGAAGCTGTTGGGAGTCCAGGTTCCCGACTCTCGGCTCCAGAAGATCAACTCTGGTTGGAACACTCTCCGCACCTTTGGCCTCGAAATCTCAAATCTCCCCAAAGCCGCGGCGCGGGCCACCCCCCCCCCCAATTCCAGAGATGATTCATTCGAGGTCCTCACAGTTTTTGTTGGCACCCTTCGCGGTTCCCCCGTCGCAACAGGCTTCCTTGTGTCTTTGTTGTCTACCGTTTGCAGGCCGCAGCACGGGCAGGACCGGGCCCCTACCAATCCCAAACTCAATCCATGAGGGTGCGGCTCAAAAATAGGGGCCCAAAATGGAACCCTGGTAAACGCAAAGGTGGACTAAAACCTGCGGTTTGCCCCAGCTGTTTAATTTTGACCCGCAGCCATGTTGGGTTCCAGCCTCTGATTTTGGACGCTTCGGCCAGAAGGAGTCCCTACGGCTCATCCGAATCTAGCTACCTCACAGCGGGAGAGCCCCGCTCAGCTTACCTGGGTTGGACGACGCGTCAAACCGCCAAGAAAGGATCCAAAGCAAAAAGTGAAAGATGTGTCATCTCTTTGGGGGGTTGCATGTTTTAACCACGATACTCTACATAGATCCCGGAGATTTCTTCGGGAATTTCTCAGGGTGGCTCAAGGCCATGCTCAGATTCGACCAACGAAGGTCGAACCCATCACAACCACCTACGGCATTTTGCCTTTTAAGTAGTGGCAGCACCCAAAATTTGGCCGCGTGCCAAAATAGGAGGACCCCCCCCAAAAAAAGAGCAAAAACAGTGCGTTGCAGTCCGTTTGGTGCCCTTTTGGACGAACCTCTTGAAGGGCTCCCTGGAATACACCCCGAACGTCCGCGGCCGAACGGCAGCCAGACTTCTCCGTGCAGTCCCGGAACTCCGCCTCCGAAGCTGACGCATTTTTCTTCGGGCGCCCCGGTTTTAGACGCAGACCAAATCTAGGCGGATGACTAAGAAATGCATTCGGTGTATGTTTGCCATTGTTGTTGGTATTGTTTCTAAGAGGGGAGCAAGGTCCCTGGTTCTCCCCTGTTATCCACTGGACCAACCCTAAACCCCTCTATCTGGATTTCTATTGGTTTGGAGTGGTTCAGTGATTTCCCCGTTTCACAACTCCCCAATCCAAACCTCCCAGGGAAAAGCGCATCTTTTTTCAAGGCGATGGCGTCGCGCTGGAAGGAGTGGAGTGTCTCAAGTGCAACTCCTGCCAAGACCCGGGTGAAACACACGGGTCTTATTTGTAGGGAGCAACACCCCATGGTGGTGGTGGTTTCCGGTTTCCACGCTGAAAAAGGAGACCGGCCTATACTGGGACCCATGTTTGTGGTTGCTTCCAGCGGAAAAGGACACCGGCCTTAAAAAAACTGGGAGTCCACATCCTTCGAGACAATGCCACATGCGCCAAAAACTCTTGGTTCCTCCCCCCTGAGCAAAAGGATGAATGGAAGAGCCATTTGGCCATGCGTCAAAAGCCAAATCGTACCCCCAGTGAACATCCCAATCCCCACTAGACTAAAATGGGTGGTGCACCTACCCCAACATGGGATCCCATTGGTTTTGACCCACAGCCATCTGCTGACAAAAGGTCGAAGGCAACTTGGTCACACCAACGGCCAGCCATGGTTCAGATGCTAGGTCCTCCACTAGAGAGGTTAGAATAAGGGTACCCATGTTTTTCTGTTGTCTATTTTAGTAGGGGAACCCTCCCCCAGGGGACCTAGTCATACAATCTGTTCGCTGCTACATCTGGCAATGCATGAACCGTGGAATATCGTGGAATGATGATTCGCTGTGAATACCAACGAACAATGGTTGCCCATGGTTTCATTTCAAAGTGGTGCAGGATTTTCTCCATCCACAGTATGGTAATGAACAAATATAAATCATAAGGGAGTATACTACAAGTGTGTAGGCTGCTTATCTACTGATTATAGACAAGCATACAGAATCTAATTGGAGCATATCATTTACCATGTATAAGCTGTTTCCCATGCTCTTGTAGCTACCACCACGCGAATCTAAATCCGCGCTTGCGCTCGCTCGCGCTGCGGCCTGGCGCAGGAGCACCTCCTCGGGGGCGCCGTCGGCGAAGTTCCTGGGAATGAGGAGGCCCCCCCCGTTTTTCGGGGTTGGCTTGAAGGGAAGCCAAAGGGGAAACACCGCAATTTGTTTTTCGTGCTCTTTTTTTGCGGGGGGGGAGTCCAGCAATTTTGGGAAAGGGGGGGAGTCCCCGAAGAGATACAAAAAAACGACACCCCCAAATCCTTCTGGGAGTGCTTCATATGTAAAAATGATCGCGGCTCTGGGGTCCTTGAGGCGCGGAAGGGATCCTTGCGGTAAGAGAAAGGCTGGGTGCGTGGTTGGCCTTTCTTTGAACCATGCAGTTAAATGACCCTAACTAGGCTCAGGAGTAGAATTGAGGCGCTTTGGGAAAAACGAGCACACCTGAGGGAAAAAAACGGCCTCACCCATAGTGAAGGTCCCCTGCTTGTGGATTAAGCATTATTTTGGGCCACATATTTATGAAAACATTGCCCGGATCAGTCAACAACTCAACAATGCAACCGACGGAATCAACAAAAAGAATAGGGCCCAAGTTTGGTGGGCCTCGGGAATCAACGTTCATTTATGCCCGAACTTTGGTGGGCCTCGTTTAGGCCAGAGGTTCAAATCCCGAAGTCGCCTGTCCAAACCAGTTCAGGGTTGCGATCATTTTGTTTTGATCTAAAATGGGACTGCGGGGCTCTAGAAAGGCCAAGTCATGATAGTTCGGAGCATGACCGGCCTGGATCAACCTTCACAGCTCACCAGAACGTGTTGCCAGAGGTCTCGTTCCAGAGATCGCTTTCCCGGTTCCCAAGGATAGATAACGCAGCTTGCCTCACCAGAATTTCTCGTCCTTCCCCTCGCTTTCCAAAAAGGGTGGTGCTATGATTTGCCACGTACCATGAGTTGCCCCTGCTCGGATTCGGTTTATAAACAAATTTCCCCCTATTGTTCGGATTGTTGTTTGATTTCCCCCTATGTGCAGCAAACAAAAGAGGAGACCCCAGAAAGACCCTTCCCGGGTTGTAAGCCTTCCGGCCGGCCCTGCGGCAATTTTTGACACCTCCGGCGCGGGAGATTTGAAGAAGTCGGATCCGACGCGGCGTGTGGCAATCGCAAGGGACCACAAGGCAATCGCTTTGCGTGAAAGTAGGGGGGGGGACCCCCAAAATTGAGTGTGGTTCCCTGTTGATTCCTGTTGAAATCACCCAAGAAAGGATGGCCGCATAAACTTGGGGCCGTTCGCCAGAAGTCCAGATCCAATTCCCCTAGGAAAGCAAATGTCTCTCGAGCCCGTAATGAATGAAATCCGGGTTCCCAGCGACAAACCCTCCCCATGACTAGGTTATCACTTTCAAGGGCGTTCCCTTGACATCGGGTGGTCACCTGGAACCCAATTTCCTGCGAGCCCAGTGGCCAAAGTGGCCATGGGTCACAATCCCGGTTGCCCCCCAGTGAACATCCCAATCCCCACTAAAATAGGTTCTAGAATGGGCGCTGCACCGAAAACCCCAACATGGGATCCCAAAACGGTTTTGACCCACGGCCAAGTGGCACTTGAACATCAACAGCCAATCGCATGCAAGGCACATGTCTCCGGCCAGCACCGTGACATCGCCTTTCTCCAAGTGCTGCAGGATCTGCCTGCGGATTTCGTCGTAGACTCAGTAGAAACCTGGGGGGGTTGGGGATAAAAAGATGGGCATCCCTCTTGTTGGCCGGCTTTTTCCTCTTTTTTATCAGGGAAGGTCCCTCCAAAGGCGAAGGAGCAATGGGGGTGCGCGAAGCGGAGAATAGTCGAACGGCCAGACATAGCCCCCAAGCGCCCGAAGGCTGGAAAGTTGGTCGGGGAAGGAACCCGAAAAGATCAAGCCAAGTGGCTGTGGCTCAAAAAACCGGAACCAAAATGGGTTGCCCTGGTAAGTGGAACCAAAGACCAACACCCGCGGTTTGCCCCAGCTCTGGAAAATTTTGAGCCATACCCAAGTCTCGAACCACAGGCGCTTCGCGCTTCGAGGCTTGGAGGTGCTTGTCCGGATGCCAAAAAATTTGCCTCAGATCTGAAGCTGATCGCCTTAAGCTCGGCCGGTTCCTTTGCCGCTTTTTAAGTGCAAGGGCCTGGTCAATGCAAGACCCTTTTGCTCCATGTTCACGTTCGAACGTCTGTATCGGTGGAAGCTCCGCTTGTGGCAAAAACGGATGACCCACCAACCCGATCCGAGCACTCGGCCCAAAAGAACATTGATCCGGGCGTTTTCGGGTCCCATGGATTTGGCTCAAAACGGAGCTGGCGGTTCTCAGGCGTTTCACCTGATCAGATCTCCGAATCTGCAGCTCTCGTTCCCTTAAGAACCTTTGCACCTCTCGCGTTCGCATCAAGTCATGTTCGTGGTGAGACCTAAAGCCTCTCAGAGAGAAGCCCAGGGACTGAATTTACGAATTAACAGTGACAATGTGCGGTCGAGGTCACCCAAAATCACAAGAACCTTTGCATTTGTCTGAACCCCCTACGAAGGGTTTTAATGGGTGGCCATACCCCCGTCCACCACCAACTGCTTTTCGGTACAGTACCTGGGATTTTGGACATAGCAAAAAGCTGGCAAGTCGGGACCCGGAGCGCGTCTAGAGGCATGGCGTATCAAACATGACCGTGTCTCTCTAATGTTGACCCGGGATCTAAGTAGAACCCGTCCCATTAGAAAGGTGAAACCCCTCCAAAAGTAGTCTGAATCCCCACGAAAAGCGGACACCCCCCGATCGAAATCAACCAGGGGGGTTTTATTGATCCGGCGTTGACATTCTGGGAGTCGCCAGCAAACCCTAAAAGATCACAGTCCCTTCGGGTCAGTTACCGCTGGCCCTCCCACCCTCCGGCCCTCCGATCAGTTTCAAAGGATCTGTCCCGAAGGATCGGTTCCCAAGGACCACATCTTCAGGCCATTAAAAGCCGATGCCCACCCGTGGCTTTTCAGGCTCCTTGAGCGGCCGGCACGTGTCAGCCGCTTCTTTGGATGAATGTGAACCACAGATCGCCTTGTTTAATGGAAACAAAAAACTCGGATTGATCCGACGACCATACTAATCAAGGGTGGACTCCTTTTTGGCAAGGACATGATCCTCTTTGTTCTTTGCTCTCTTTGTTTTTGGGGGTGGGCCCGCTGGTTGGAGTCCTCCGGATTGATCCGAAGTAAGTATCCGTTCGAAGAGGCCCGTTTGATCTGTTGGAAACGAACCGGGTTGTTGAAAACAACAACTTCCAGTTTAGGAAGATTACACAACATCATGTGGAATCAAGGGCAACAACAAATATCCGTATGTTTCTTGTGGCAAGGGGACTGTCCCCCAGACTCATCTAGATTTCATTATTCAAAGCGGCGAGTCAATGCATCTGACACAACTCCGGCTCAATCCATGTCAGCCATCCATATCAGCCCTGGTTGTTGTGGTTAAAAAGTTGGACCCCCCCCCCCTTCGTCCTCTCCCCACCAACAGTATGCCAACAATGGCTGCAATGTCCATTCCAAAACCTGAAATAAGAACTGCCACAAAAATAGATCATTTTGTCTGTCCGACCCCCCTTCCGTCTTAGGTTTGATGGAAAACCCACGTGTTTCATGTGTCTCCAAAAGGGACCAGCCATCCCACATTGTCACCTGCTCACTTAGTTGCTGTTGACCCCACTTCAAAAAGCTTAACTTTTTTCGGGATTAATTAGTGGGAAACCCATTTATTTTCCTAAAAGTTAAAGTCCAAAGATCAAAATCCAATAGCAATCAAGCTCACCTGGCCCGGTTTTGGCCTTCCTTCCTCCCCCTCCCTCGAGCCCCAGGAGCCCCTCTTGCGCGGCCCGCGCGCCTCAGCTGCGCGATCCGGCTCGCCCTGGAGTCCGACTCCAAGTGCCTTAGCCAAGCGCTGGGATCGACGTGAGCCAAGCGCTGGGACCTCCAGTAGAGCGCTCAGAATTTTCTCGTACCGTCCTTCTTCGAGCGTCTATTTTAGTAGGGAACCCTCCCTCAAAAAAGGATGTAAACGGGCACTACTGGGGGACCTGGCAAAGCAGTGGAACCAAACTCACGGCTACTGGGATTGCCGAATGCTCACCCTGGAATTCTGAAAGCGGAGAGGACAGGAACCTGGACCGTACGGCCACCGGCCACTGCTACACATCTCTCCTTTTTCGAGGGTGTCCGGTTGCATGGAATGGGCGGCACCGAAATCTCCAGAAGTTTCCGGCAAAACCTGCCACGCCACCAAATGCCACCAACTTGGCTGGGGGGAAAAAAAAAAAAAAGTTCAGGACCCCCCCCCCAGCCAGTCACAAATACCACTGCGCTGGGATTTCTGTTCACTTCCAGTGGTGCCTGTGGTGCCCCTTTCCAAACGGGCGCGAGATCTATCTTGATGATGCAAGCCCTAGGCTTGGACTTAGGACAAGGCGAGCTTCGCGCGTCGCTGTGAAACTGTGTCTTTCGTAAGTGGCGCGCATTCAAGAAGTGAAATGGAACGGCGAAATCTCTACCTGCAAGCCACTCTGAGAGCTGACCGGCTGAAGTCGACACATACTCAAAGATTCCGAAGAGAACGGAAAGTTGAAACGATGTTCACGCGATGTGTGACAATACCTTCCCGTCAGGCCAGATTCTCAAATTTCACCAAACCAGCTCAACAGCTCAACGCGGGTGAGATGGCAGCCCTGAGCATTCCAATGAACATATGAGTCACAATCCAAACCCGGTACTAAAATGGTCTACCCAGAACCATGTAAGGAATTAAGAAGGCGGCCGCAGCTTTTTATGGTTGGGATCGTCCATTACTAACCTTCGTCTACCCTGGTTTTGATCGTGGCTCATATGCGGATCTGCTTCCAGCCATCGGGACTCGAGTGCCGTCCAAGAGCGCACGCTGATGTGATCGGAGTGAACGAGCCTTTGGTTTTTGCCAGGGCTCCCAGAAGTGACCCTTAATGCTAACCCCGGATTCAACCCCCGGTCGATTTTTCTTGGGGTTTTTGCTCCCCCTTGAGTCCGCTGTGACAGCGCAGGAGAAGGATCCCCCAAATTACGGGACGGGTGGATGAATCCTGGGTCAACCTTATCAGCTCCGACCTTTCCCACCGAATGCTCCCACTCAATCACTCAACGCCACAGCAGCCCGGGATCTGGCTCCCCGCCGCCCTTTCTCTGTGCTTGAACTGTGGTTAAACATAGATGTGAGTGTTCCCTAGAATGGGCGCCCCCCAACGAAGCCCCAAATCATGTGTCTGGAGTCTTTCATGTTTTGCCAGCCTCATCTCAGAAGGCCCCCAAATATGACTTACAGGGATTTTCAAGAAAGGACCTACACGGTGTTGGCTCTCGTTGCCCAAGTCCAAGCCATCAATTGTGTCAAATAGGGAGAACCCCGAAAAAATCGCTGGATTCCTGTTGGTGTCCTCCAGTAGAGGGTTAGAATAAGGGTGCCCCTTTTCCTGTAGTCTATTTTAGTAGGCGAACCCTCCCCCCAGAAAGGGTAGGGCACTACTGGGGGACCTAGCTGTTAAACCAACCGCAAAAAGGGCACCGAGCCTCACCGAACCACGCGCCCCCGACGGATGGCCGCGGCACACGGTGGCCAGCCGCAGCCGAGCTTGCGCCAGAGGCAGATCCGCCACCAGCAGCGACCTCGCCCGGAAGCGACTCGCTTGAGCCAGCCGAAGCGCTTGGCCCAAATGCAGCCCAAATCCCTCTCCTTGCTGGGCTGCCCGTTTGCTGATCCCCCGCCAGTGAATAACTTTTGGTGGTGTAAATGGAAAACTCCACAAAACACTAACAGGGCTCCCTATCTTTCCCCTTGAAACATCACCCCCACCAAGGGACACTCACCTTTCATGGGCCAAAAAGGTGATGTTTAAAATTGCCAAAATGGGAACTATAGGGTCACTAAAAGCCTCAAAGGCCAAGGAACCGGACGGCTGGGAGTTGTGAAGGTCCCCAATCCATCTCTCCTTGGGTTTTTTGACCAGAAGCCCATACTGTGGATGGTTGCGAAATCCAGACATCGCGCCACGAAATGAAACCACGGGTGAAACCATAAGGTGTGTCGGTGTTTACACAAAAATCGCGTCATTCCGTGCAGGATTCGTCCATCCACACGGCTCGAGGGAAGGCGAACGGGAGCTCCTGAACTTGTCATCAACTGGGGGAGGGTTCCGCAAAGATTCGTCTCGTTTTGGTGGTCACTTTGCAGAGGCGAGTATCCTAAAACAAAGACACGCCGATCTGCCTTTTCCCGCCTGAAAGAAACGCACCTGGAAATGAAGGGTTGATTCTTTGGCCTCCATTTTGCCTTTTGGCTTGCCCGAAAAAGTCCAAGAGCACTTGCTGACCTTGCCGCCCCTTGGAAGGAACAACGCGCTCAATTTTCATGTACTCCATATTACTCCATATTGTCCAAATTGCTACACATAAACAGAGCAACTCACCTGTTTCCCCCTAAAACAAGGGACAAGTGCTGCCCCCCTAGCTCTTGTGATTGGAATTTGGGTTCCCCCCACCCGGCTTCTCCTTCCAAACCGATAGAAGCCCGTCCAATAAAAGTTTTACGCCCACATGAGGTTGAGCAGCCCCTGGCCAGGTCAAAATGACATGGTGTCTTTACCCAAACCTGATGAGCGGCCTCATCGCTTTTGCTCCTTCTGCAAAGTCCACTTCAGGTTGGTTTGACAGAGCTCCGATTTGTTGACTGTAGGGAGGTTGAACCTTAGCAAGTAGGATATGCAAATGCAAAAGCCATGTGGAGATGGAGCTGGCTTTCTGAAGCACCATGGCGTTCACCTACTTAACCCGGCGGATTGCAACAATGCAGCCATAAGAGATTCCTCAAGCAACCTTCATGCGGTGAGTATAGGTAGTTGTCCTTTGGTCCCCTTCAAAGGCCCTTACAAAAGGGCCTTATGGGGTGTTTCCTTTTGGCTTCCCTCTGACCCAGAAAGAGACAGCCTCAAATTGACTGCTCGACGGAATTCCCCCCCCCATCACCCCAAACACATGTACATAGAACATGTCCTGATTCCAACAATTGACGTAAGCTAGCTTGATGGCTATTCCCGTCGGCCTAAGCAGTTGCTAACTTTGGCAGCTGAGTAAAAGCCTGCCAATATTGGGACAACCACCTACCAACTGCAATTTTGATGTCCATCAGTCGCATTCAAGCTCGGCCTCGTGGTTTTCGCTGTACTCCTCCCGATCAACATATCCAATAAATCCCGATCAGGGCTGTGGGTGAAATGGCCACCTTCTGTGATGCAACAAGGAGGGCGATGAGCCCTTGTGCCATATAAACAAAAAATAGACCCCTTGTATCACAGTGGGGACAAATCCCTTGGCCTTGGGATCCCACAACCCTGCTTATAACCCACTTAGGGGGCTTACAACCCACGGTAGGTGGTCATGTGTGTTTGTGTTTCTTCCTTAAATAGCAATATGTTCATCTCTGTTGGTTTTTAAGGGAATCAAATAGCTGCTTTCTTCGGGTGCTTTTCTCAACCCGGACGACTTGAATCCGAGAAAAACAACCATACCCCTTTTGCATACCCCAAATGGCAAATGAACCCCAAAGGCTTGCTGATGTTCATGCCATATCCTCTCCCCAGAAGGGGTATATAACCCTTAGAAAGTGGGTTGGAAACCACGGAAGCCAAGGGGTATGAACAAGTACTTCCACCCTTAGACACAATTCAAGGAAAGCCAACTATTGAGAGAAGCCAAAACACCATTTAGGGAAGCGACCAACGAAAGACATACCAAGGGTGAGCACCTTTCACATCTGGTGACAGTTGCTTGCGCAGTTTCAGCGTTCGCAGTCGAGAAATCTATTGGACAAAGCTGGATTACTGGTAAATCACATCACTTCAAAAGGGACTCCTTAAACAGCGAATAGCGACCTCCCTCCAAGCGCCTGTTCATGCGCGAGGGCAGGTGCCAGAGCCGCAGCTCGCCGCCCCGCAGCGAGGAGCGCCGCAGCAGCAGCAGCACGCCGTAGGCCAGCTTCGAGCCTCGCGAACAGACAAAACCGACCCAGCGCGCACGCTGTTTTCTTCTTCTTCTTCTTCTTTGATTTTTCGAGTGACTCCAAAAAAGCGGGTGGAGCCTTGGGTCTTTTTGGGTTGGTTCCCTCGTTGGCGCTGCGGGAAAATTCATGGGAGCTCAAAACGGGTTCGGAGCTTTCTGGCGGCGCCCCTCTCTTTTGGGCATTGGAAAGTGAGACAGATGCTCATTCCCTCGACTCCCATGCTGTCTCAAGCCATAGGCTCACCTCCAACGACCAAGCGCGCGCGCTGGCGCGCTAGGTCGAGGTCCCAGAGCTCGAGCTTTCTGGCCCCTTCCCAGGACATGGGGCTATCTTAACCCCGGATCCAAGTGGAACCCCCGGTTGATTTAGACCACTTTTGGAGGGGTTTTCGCCCCCCCAAAAATGGGACGGGTTTTGTTTATCCTGGGTCAACATTACCTGCCAACCGTCCGGCAAGTTGAGACCAAGCGGTTGGCTTTCGCTGGGCCGTCCGTTTGACATTCGCGGAAAGGATCGCGAATGTACAGATCCTTTCGACTCGGCAGGGTTCATATCAACATCCAGTCTGAGAATCCTTCTGGCGACATCGCAAAGAGGTTGGTTTAGGGTCGGTTTTGGGTCGGTTGAGGGCGGACTCGCAAAGGCCCCAGAAGCCACCAAGAGCTGTCAAAAGCCACAACAACCTGCGAAAATGATAAAGCCGCGAGCTGCCAACCAAAAGCAACAAAGAAAGAAAAGAGAGAGAAAGAAAGAAAGCAACAAAGAAAGAAAAGAGAGAGAAAGAAAGAAAGAAAGAAAGAAAGAAAGAAAGAAAGAAAGAAAGAAAGAAAGAAAGAAAGAAAGAAAGAAAGAAAGAAAGAAAGAAAGAAAGAAAGAAAGAAAGAAAGAAAGAAAGAAAGCAAGAAAGCAAGAAAGAAAGAAAGAAAGAAAGAAAGCAAGAAAGCAAGAAAGCAAAAAAGCAAGAAAGCAAGAAAGCAAGAAAGCAAGAAAGCAATAAAGAAAGAAAGAAAGAAAGAAAGCAAAAAAGAAAGGAAGAACGGAAACAAACACAGAAAGAAAGGAAGGAAGGAAGGAAGGAAGGAAGGAAGACAGAAATAAAGCAACAAAGCGAGAAAGAACGAAAACAAACACACTTCGCGCAACATTGAAGGCAAACGGAAAATAGTATCTCCAGATTGTTTTTCATTTTTAGTCTACCCTGATATATACTGATATATATATATATACACATATGTATACATGATATGTGCGTATATTTTTCTGGTGGAGACCCAGATGCAAATGGAGGCGCGGCCCCCTGCTTGGGTTGGCTTCAAGGGAAACCAGAAGGAAACCCACAATGTAAGGAAAGCCACCCAAGGAGGGAAGCCAAAGCACCGTGAAAGGGAAGCGACCAACAAAAAGACATACCAAGGGTGAAAAGCCAGCCTTTCACACCTGGTGTGACAGTCGCAGTTTCAGCGACCCCAACCTGGGAAAAGGTGGTCAAGCGGCTCGCAGCCGAGACATCTAATGGACAAGGGACTCCTTTTGCGAGTCAAAAACAGGGGACCGAAATCCCAACTCGGGCGCCTGAAAAAAGAACCTCCAAGGAATCTGATGGCCAAGCTGACCATAGACCAGCAACCATGGTGGAATATTGGATGGGCCTGATTTGTTTGCCGGATTTTCTTTGGGGGGAAGGGGGAAGGGGGAAGGGGGAAGGGGGAAGGGGAAGGGGAAGGGAAGGGGGAAGGGGGAAGGGGAAGGGGGAAGGGAAGGGGAAGGGGGAAGGGGGAAGGGGGGAAGGGGGGAAGGGGGGAAGGGGGGAAGGGGGGGGAGCCCATGTCCTCCCCATGTCAGTTGCTCGAGTTTCTCCCTCCTGGGCGATTTTGAGGCTCTTTGGGTGGCGTTGAAGCCCCCAAAACCCAATCCGAAGTTACGGAGAACTGCCTCTGTTTTTTTCTCGGTTGCCAAGGTTCGACCGGGTGTCAATGGCAAGGGAAACCTCGAGCTTGGCAAAGGGTTCTTTTTGTTTAAAGACTCGGCTCTTCCTTCCGTGTGTTTTGAGGTTTGGAGCAACCCTGTGTCTAGTGTTAGGTTCAGCCGTCTCCGCCTCTTCTGCTTTCCACAAACGCCCCACAAGTCGGCATTTGTCCCAGAAGTTCAGCGAAACAACTGTGGATCTTGCACATTTAAAAGTTTAAGAATAGGTCGAAAACAACGCATCCCCGATTCCTCCAACCATTTGCTTTCCCTACAAAAACAACAGCTCTTTTTTCTGGGGTTCATCTGAAAAAACGGCAAACCCCAAACCTCCTGATAGCGGCCTAGTACCAAATTTATCCTGGGAAGACTCGGGGTATGCGTCAAAATCAGGAGTTGGAACCTCCTGAACCAAGCCCATCCGTGCAGAACTCACAACCCTCCGAAAGGTCCGATTCGGGTATGGGTCAAACTTCAGGCACCAGGATGTGGACCGCAGATGTCAGATCTCTTGCTTCCATGTCCCTGGGGGGCTCTGGTTCCATTTCGGGGTCACCAACTGTTTTGTTTCTGACCACACCCATCTCAACAGGATGTGGCTCAAAAAGCCTGAGCTAGGGCTACGCAGGTTATAGTCAATGGAACCTACCAAGGTGCCGTTTTGGTACTGCACCCCCCGCGCCCCATGCCCCGCGGCTCCCCATGCCCCGTGCCTTGCAGCGTGGTGCCGACGGCGTCGCTCAGCGCGAAGTGCTCCTGCACGAAGGGCTCCTGAGGCAAAAAAAGGATCGGTGTGCCTTTTCCTGGCCCTGCTTGGGGCTGTTGTGGAGGGCTTCAATAACACTGTGTAAACACCACAAAGGTGGGTTGTATGTGTGTGCCTTTTCTTGATTGTGCCCTGCTTGGGGCAGTTTTGAAGGGAAACCAAGGCTGTTTTGAAGCTTCAAAGAAACACACACACACACACACACACACACACACACACACACACACACTTGTGTAAACACCACAAAGCTTTGTCTTAAAGAAATAACAAGAAATCTGTGTTTGCTTTTAAGGCAAAGCAGGGGGAAACAGAAAACAAGTGGGGGTATGGATGCAGGGTTCAACGTGTTGGTTGCACAAACCATGTTTGAGGTGCCCAGTAAAGATTGATTGGCGCTGGTCCCTTTGGTGATCATCATTTAAATTGTGTTGTGTATATATATATATACATATGTCCACAAACCATCATTGAGAAGTTCCCTTATCAGCATTCACAGCCGCTTCAACATGTTGACACCAAGATTGCTCAAACATCGATCCAAATGTCCACTTTTGAGGGGCTACGATCTGATAAATCGATTTTGGGTATGCATCTTAATTGCCTTTGGCGGACATCGTCTACACGGTTCCAACATACATGAAAAGTTTGTTGAAGAATTCGCCCGGCTCACTGCTCCCAGCCAATTTGCCGAGACTGGCCAAAGGCTCGTGCCGTTTGGCAAAGCAAAACCCTGGCCCAAGGCCCACAGCAAAAGAACAAAGTCCAATCCCCTTGACACGGTTGACGTTGGAAGGGGAGACAAACAAAATACAGTTTAGCAGTCAAGCGGTTGGATTTCCACCACTAAACCACAATAAGCAAAAATGGACAATGTTTCCCAACAACAACCATGTTGCCTTTGTATCTGATTTCAATAGGAGTGACTTCCAGGCCTTGTTGCTTTGTCTTGGACTCATGTATCAGGTAGGTATACTCAGAGAATCCCTAAGGATTCACAAGAATCACTATTGATTTCCCTGATCCCCACCATCCTGTGGAGGTTCCCCAGATCAAGTTGAGGTCTCCCCAACCCAAAAAACCCAAAGGACAATCTCCCTAGTTAAAAATTAACCACTAAAAATTGTTTTATAGAATCCATGTGTTTTCTTTTTTCCCTTCCCGCCGAAGCCTGGCGCAGCCAACCCAAGAACTTGGGCGTGACCTGAGCCGGCCCGCAGCCCTCCCTCCGACCCGAAAACTCTTGCGGGACCTACTGCCGTGGTGGAGAAAAGCAGCACAAGAGGCTAAAAACATAATACACCTATATATATATATGTATATGTATATATATACATAGATATGTCGTCTCACTTCCGGAGTGGATTGGAAAGAACATGTCCAAACTTTTCGGTTGCCACTAGGCTGGTCAACATTTAAAGTCCAGGAACTCTGACTTGTTTCTCTTATGATCGTGGCTCATATTTGGTGTTGAGTCCGCAAACCCATCCCAACCATCTAGACCCCAAATGGCCCAAAGCCAGGAACGTGGTTGGCCAATTCTCACGCCTTGCTGAAATGCGACTCGCACACAAAATCCCCATGTGGGTATGGGTGAAAATTAAACCAGGAATCGGACCGCAGGTTTTAGTCCATTTGTGTTTTCCCTTGTTTCCACCAACCAGGATTCAAATTGGGGTACCTTTTTGTCTTTTGACCCACACCCCATGTGATCGGATTTCTTCCAAGGGTCCGGGTCGCTTGGCCCAGAAAATGCCATCGGTTGGGTTCCACGAGGCTCGGAGAGCCTCCCATCCTTTCTCAGTGGAAGCAGCCGCCCCCTTTGGAACGACTTGGCTGAGTTGGGGGGGTTGGGGGGGTTGGAACGACCCGGCTGAAGTGAAAAAACACCATGTACCCTTTTTCACAAACCCATCACCCATCCTATTTTTTGGGGGGAGTGGGGGCCCCTCCAAAAGTGGTCTGGAGGACAAACCAGGAGTGAAAATTAAAAAAATCCGGGGGGTTCCCAATATGGGTGGAGCCCTCAAAATTTCGGAGCCCTCTGGGTGGTTGGTTTCCCCTTAAAACCCTCCAAAAGGGGAAGCATGTTTTAAGACAGAGCCATATGGCTGTGGGTCAAAACCCAGGAAACCCCTGGCGAACATCAAAATAGGTGGCACATGGGTGTTCCTCCGCGGCATAGGTCATGACCCCTGGCCATACTGGTTGCCGCCACCTCTCTCGCACCTCCGACTCTCCCGCCTCCTGCAGGCAGATGACGTCCGCCTCCGAGGCCTCCAAAATCCTGAAGATGGCCGCCGCACCTCGTCGGGATGAGACAGCAAGAACGCAGCGCCGCCGCTGGCGCGAAGGCAAGGAGACGCCCTGACTTGCCAGCGGTGCTCGGTGCTCAGTATAACCATAACATACTGGTCGCCATGGGTCAAGGTCCAAGTCGTAGTGAACATGCCAATCCAACCACTAAAATGGACTAAAATGGGTGGTGAATTCACCTACCCCAAAATGGTACCATTGGTTTTGACCCACAGCCTGGTATTCATACCGTAACCTCTGTACTTCAAGCGATATGTGGGAATGAGGGTGCTCAGTATAGAGAAACATAAGGGATATTCACTTGCTCTTGTGTGACTTGCTGGGGAATGAGGGAATGACCCCAACATGAACCATCCGACTGGTGGTTTCCCTAGGGGACCAAAGCCTGGGCTCATTCCCGCATTCCCTGCTGAGCACCACACGGAACCTGTCACGTTCGGAGGTCCCTTTAAAAGTAAAATGGTCCAAACAGAGACCCCCGAAACGAACGTCAGGTTCCGGCTGTGAATTGGCGGGAGGGTGGATGATGGGTTCTTTGTCATTTGTCAAGACACCGTTCTTACCTTCTTCCAGCAAACTGGGACGCCTGATTCACCAGGGGGTGAAAGTGAATCACGGGTCGACAGCCAGGCACTCTAAAGCCCAGGTGTGTGTGACCGCTGACCAACACTTCCCAGATTCCCGGTTGGGAAAAACTTGGTGACCTGGACCCAAGCCTGCCACAACCCACGGCACATCTTGCGCTCGGGATACGGAGGTTCTCAAACCAAAAAGACGGCGAAGCCAGCTCGAACTGCATTCCGGTCTTGGGTGCTAAGTCGTTTGCCCCGGTTGCCCGAGACAGCGAGCGACAAGCGCCCTAATATGTAGCCCATGCTCGGCTTCCAGAACGGGGCCACACTCCCGAGCGCTCTCTCTCTCTTTCCATCTCTCTCTCTGTCTCGCTCTCTCTCTCTCTCTCTCTCTCTCTCTCTCTCTCTGGATAACCATTTCTGTGAGGAACGTCTTGTGGCAAATGTGGCAGTTCCTTCGAAAAACATCAAAGACCCTTTCATAACGGTAGAAAGTTGGTTTTCCGAAAAGGACACCAAGGGGGACGCAGACTTGTGGTTTGGTCATTGTTTGAGGGTTAAGGCTAACCCTCTTCAAGAAGGTAGCAAATGCTGAAGCAACTGGGCATGTCAAAAATCCAGGACCCGCAAGATGGTGGTGTTCCTTTTGACTTCCCCTTAAACCAACCCTAAACACATGGTTGACGTTGGAAGGGGAGCAAAACTGTATGTGTGTAGCAGTTAAGTGGTTGGATTTCCACCACCAAACCACAATAATTAAGCAAAAACGGGAAAAATGTGTCCCAAGAACAACCCTAAGCCGGGCGCCTTCAAAAAAAAAAACACGCCACGCCACACGCGCGCCTTGAAAGCCGCTTTCGGCCGAAGCCCTTAAGCTACGCGTCTGGGCGCCCCACGCATTTTCTGACGATACTCGCCTCAGAGAAGAGAGTGGAGGGGGCGGACGGAGGCGGACGAGCGGCTTTCCGCAAGACAGGTTGCAACTTGAGGGGCTGAGTGTGAATTCATGCAGGCGCGTCATGCCATTCATGCATGACTCCAAAGGTGTTGCCGCAAAACGGGTTTTGCAACTGGAAAGCGCGGCAGAGGAACAGGTTTTCCTGTGGCAATGAAAGTCCAGGAGCAAAAGGGCGCAAAACCAGGCGAAGTGGATCACCGGAAAAATCTGGAAGGTGGCTCAAAAAAAATGTACCCAATATGGCACCTTGGTATATGGAGCAAAACCCTGTGGTTTGCCCCAGCTGTTTCATTTTGAGGCAGGCCGGAAAAATCTGGAATGTGCCGTTGTTTGGGACCCACAGCCATATAAGGACACAAACGTGGCCAGGGAGAGAGAACGGCAGGGGCCGACATGAAAACCATGCTTGAACGCCAAACAAAACGTACTGGCCAGACTCCTTCCGCAAACCAAGGAACACTTGCCCGAACAGGCCAGGAAAACCATGATGATAAAACAAAAACAAAAACGCGAACCCTGGAATCACCAGAAACATGTTCGAAAAAAAAAAAAAAAAAAAAAAAAAAACTTCGTGCGAGCCGAGTTCGCCGTGTCTGACAGGACGTGACTTTAAGTCAAAAGCCACAGCGCGGCAATCTCCTGCAGTGTCCCCTTTTCGACCAAAGGGAAACACATAAACGCAACTCCAGTTCTCACCTTTCCCCCCACGTCCATTTTTGAGGGGCGGGAATATCTGCAACACCTCTTTCCTGAGAGCGAGCCGTTGCAGATCACCCATGCGGCCTAAACTCGGTGAGCCTTGCTGAAAGTTTGCGTTTTGCAATTTGCACCCCTGCTCCCCCCCCCCCCCCCCCCGAAAAATGATAGACACCAACAAACCTGAAAACCCTGACAAAGATACCAACAACAGCGAAGCTTCCCCCCTTCCCCAGCGTTTCTAGGTCCTCCAGTAGGGTGCCCTTTTTTCAGGCCTCTATTTTAGTAGGGGAACCCTCCCCCAAAGAAGGGTAAGGTAAAAGGGCACTACTGGGGGACCTAGCCTCCGTCCTTCCAAGGCGCAAAACCACACGTTGTAGGTCACCACCCTTAGCCTCGCTAGGGTCGCATTCAGCTCAGCGTCTGCAGGGTTGTCTGGCGCCTGCGCGAGAGAACGAGCTGGAGCTTCTTCATCCAGACAAACGAAGCATGTTGCTCCAAAGTCTCATGGCTATTTACCTCATTCAAAGACTTCCCAAAGAAAGGGAAAACATCACAGAACATGGAACGGGGGGTTACCCTCCCAGCAATGAACATGGAACCGTTCGACGTTTCGGAGCGGAAGACCATTTTCCATTGAAAGGGTAAAGGGACCTGTTAGGTTCCATTTTTTCTACTGGGAGGGTATAAAATATCGTTCTCGTTCAGTGGCCCATCTGTAATTTGGAAGACTGAGTTGATTCCAACTGACGCTTCGGCGTGGATAAGTTTTATCCAGATCGGCATAGATGCTGTCAGGGAGCATGCCCTGGAACCCTCCATACCGTCCTTAGACAAATCCACAAAACATTGACACGAAGGATGATAAACTCCTCTTGAGATAAACCAACCAACTCGTGCAGGCTTTTGCTTGTTTGTGCGACAAGTAGGGAATGAGAAATGGCATGCCCCTTATAAACCATCCAACTGGTGGTCTCCTTCAAGGGAATCGCTGCTTGCCTTCCCACATTCCGTACATTCCGTACAGCGCACCGGCAAGTTTGTCCCTCAACTAGGGGCTGATTCTATGCCCTTGCCGGCGTTCTTTGCAAAAACCAGCTGTTTCCACAGGACCCAACTCTGGAGTCAACACCCCATGCCGATGTCTATCAGGGTTTTTGGTCGAAAAGCCCAGCAGCACTTGGGGTCACACACTGGTCGTGAAAAAAAAGGTTTGTTTGCCACTTTCTGTGAGTGCCCAAGAGAATCCCCTTTCAAGTGACAAAGTGGTTATTAGTATGGTATCAGAAGGATCACTTTCCACCACCATGAATTACTATGCTGGATGGTGAACGGATTTGTCAAACAAGTGTGGCGCTCATGTGTTGAACGTCATCTGGGTGGATGTGTTTGAACTCCCCGTTGCTGCCTTGAGGACACATCACAAGCGAACATCCAATTGCACATATGAAATAGTACATAATGGACCCACCCAACATTGAAACAGTTGGATGGTCCTACATGAATGGTATGTCAATGGAGCCATTAGAGCTATCAAACTGGGAACCGAAGTGGTTCATTCTCAAGCAGGGACGTCCTTGTGTGCCTAAGAACACAATACAACCAGTACAGGCACAGGTCAGCCCAACTATTCTTCAGTTGCCCCGTTGCCTTAAGAAACATGAGTCCCCAATTTGGCTTGCTCCTGTAGAAGCCAACTGGATGAAAGAAGGCAACACTGCTGCGTCTGTGAACGGCTGGTCTGAGAAAAAAACGGGCAGCCTGGCCAAAGGGCTGGCTGAAACTTCGGCCATCTTGCCAGCTGGACCGGGGGGAACAAGATGTTTGCGCCTGCTCACAAGTGCCACGGTGGAGGATATTCGCAGCGGGCTCCGAGATGTTATTCGAGAGGCATCTCGCAAACCGGCGAGCTTGAGAACAATGTCCTTCACGTCTCGAGTTTCGGGCCTCGCCACCTCCTCTTTCCTATGGCTCAAGGGGTCCTTCAAGGCTCTTCCCAGATCTACCTCCCAACTCCATCTCATTCATTGGTGGTGTCAGGGGGTGGCAAGCCTCATTTACCCTCTACAAAAGCCCGGGGGCTTCATCTGCTACCCGAAAACAAAAGTGAGACCTCAGCAAAAAAAAAAATTACACCAGCATAGACCCCAGATAGCACACCACGGATACGAACCATGACGCAGCATTATCATGATGATGTAGACCATGATGACACCAAAGCCACGAAACAAACGCGCAGACAACGTCCTAATGAGATCAGCAGCATAATGATGATTTTGAGAGCAATCCGGCAGGAAAAAAAGCAAAAACGAGGTCCTGATGAGTTCGACAGCATCATGATGATGCGGACAGCATCATGATGATGCGGACAGCATCATGGTGATGCGAACAGCATCATGCTGATGGTAAAGGCAGCATCATGATGATACCACAGCCACGAACCATCTTGCGACAGCTTAATGAAATTCTGCATCCATCACGGCGCCACTACGCCCACACACCATAACGTGGAAACATCATGACGAGACACCAGCCACGAACCGTTACACGCGAACAGCATCCACCAGCACCCCAAACATGCCCCCTTGCACCCGGTACAACCAAAGCAGCATCCACCCGCGCCTCAAACTGCATGCCCCTTAGCACCCGGCCGTCAAGCTCGCAAAGCAGCATCCACCAGCACCCCAAACTGCATAGCACCCGGCCGTCAAGCTTGCAAAACAGCATCCACCAGCACCCCAAACTGCACCCGGCCGTCAAGCTCGCAAAGCAGCACCTACCAGCACCCCAAACTGCATGCCCCCTAGCACCCGGCCGTCAAGCTCGCAAACCAGCACCCACCAGCACCCCGAACTGCATGCCCCCTAGCACCCGGCCGTCAAGCTCGCAAAGCAGCATCCACCAGCACCCCAAACTGCATTAGCAACCGGCCGTCAAGCTCGCAAAGCAGCATCCACCAGCACCCCACCCCTAGCACCCGGCCGTCAAGCTCGCAAAGCAGCACCCACCAGCACCCCAAACTGCATGCCCCCTAGCACCCGGCCGTCAAGCTCGCAAAGCAGCACCCACCAGCACCCCAAACCGCATGCCCCCTAGCACCCGTCAAGCTCGCAAACCAGCACCCACCAGCACCCCAAACTGCATGCCCCCTAGCACCCGGCAGTCAAGGCTCGCAAAGCAGCATCCACCAGCACCTCAAACTGCATGCCCCCTAGCACCCGGCCGTCAAGCTCGCAAAGCAGCATCCACCAGCACCCCAAACTGCATTAGCACCCGGCCGTCAAGCTCGCAAAGCAGCATCCACCAGCACCTCAAACTGCATGCCCCCTAGCACCCGGCCCTCAATCTCGCAAAGCAGCATCCACCAGCACCTCAAACTGCATGCCCCCTAGCACCCGGCCCTCAATCTCGCAAAGCAGCATCCACCAGCACCTCAAACTGCATGCCCCCTAGCACCCGGCCGTCAAGCTTGCAAAGCAGCATCCACCAGCACCTCAAACTGCATGCCCCCTAGCACCCGGCCCTCAATCTCGCAAATCACTTTCCCCTCTTTATTAGAAGTTAGAACCCCTATAGCTTTCAGCTATCTGGGGAAAAACGCCGCGAGGGAAACGCCTTCCGGGCCGCCAGCTTCCCCCCTCCCCCGGCTCCGCATCGGTTGGGGCGCCTGCACCCAGCGGCCCTCGCTGCAGATCCGGAAGCTGAGCCGCGAGAGGCCCTGGGCCTCGAGCGCCCGCGGAAAGGGTTTGGACCTCTGGATGAGGGGTGCGCCCACTGAAATATATATATATATATACATACGTAGGCCTTGATCATACAGATGTGCAAAGGGCATGTACAAGAGGGGATGCATATTAACATAGGTATATATATATATGGTTATATATTTTTATGTATATTAGTGGGCATTTCTGTTCATCTACTTGGGGCTTACTTGAAGGCTATCGAATGGTTCATAAACCGTACCTACTCTTGAGTTTCCTATTGTGGTTCACTTAGTCACAGTTGCACTTGGTTCATTCTGTGGTTCATCTGTCAACTCAGTTGTCGGCGTATTGATTCAAAAAATAATAAAAGAGAGCGGAAGAATACGGAGCTCTCAAAAGTACCCATTGTGTGGCTTTAAAGTCAAACCGCCACGACATGGAGGGGGGTTCTCTTCATTTGGCTATCTACTTTCTTGTTTGTTCACGTCTTGATCCATCGATGAACGTATGTGTCTGATTGTTCAAAACCATATTTGTACCATTACTATTCAAACGACGACGAAGTATGTTGGGCTTGCCATCTGAACCGGCCGCCAGGATGTGGAGAGCTAAGGGACCAGACAGAGAGCTTGCCGGGCGAGGTGGACTCTGGTTCTGGTTTCCAAACAGGGCATGGAATGTTTTTGAATTGCGGCACCCACCCCCCCCAAAAAAAAGGGCGATGTACCTGTTGGCGTCCTTTTGGTTTCCCTTAAACCAACTAAAAAAAACAAACTCAAAACCAGCCATGGCAAGAATGTGGCGCTGACATCTGCGGCAACCGGCCGCCTTGGCGATGACATCTGGTGTGCCAGGAGAGTTGTGCTCCCACTGGCTCTGCTTCGTATCACCAATGGTTTCATGTCCACAACAAAAATCCTTACATTATACACCTGAACATTGCCTTGTCAATGGCGGTTTCCAACTTTATTTTGGTGTTGAAAAGGCCATGTTTCAATTGGCGGTTCCCTTTATTTTGGTGGAAAAGGCCATGTTTCAATTGGTGGCAAAATGATTTTCTTTTAAGGAGCCCTGCACAAGCTCGGAGCTTTCCGCAAGAACTCTTCAAACACTTCCCCTGGAACGGAGACGAAACACCAAGACATGGGATTTGAGCTCTCGCCATCTCCAAAACAACTGGCGGCTGAGTGGAAACCCGGAAAAAAGAGAATGGTGCGGCCATGGGAAGTCATTCTTTGATGGTATCCCATAACTTCTTGGGCGGTGCGATTGCATGCCTTCGGACTGGACCCACCCCGGTGCAACCGCTGGTGTGCATGTTGCTTCCTTCGTTCGGAAAATGCTCATCTGGGTCCTCCAGATTGAGAGGTTAGAATAAATAAGTTGGTACCCTTGTTTCCGTGGTCTATTTGAGTAGGGGAAAACCGAATCTCCCAACCAAAAAAGAAAAACGGGTGAGAAAGTTGGCACGATCCTGGGGGTGACCTAGTCCTCCACTCCCCGCTCCTCGCCGCTTTCGCCAAACCAACGGCCTCGCCTGATCCTCCAGGTACTGCGGCAGCGCCTCTTGGCCCAACACCTGCGGAAGCCAGCGGCTGGAGCTTCGTGGTTCCGAACGGTTTAACAATGCGCTCGGGCTGTGGTTGCTGGGGTTTGGTGTTGCAAAAATAAGGGTTTGGCTTGGTGCTGTTTTGGGCGTGGTTGATTTTGGTCGTGGTTCCAAACGGTTTGGTTTGGTGGAGGCTGTTTTGGGCGTGGTTGATGCTTCGTGGCTCCAAACGGTTTGCTTTGGTTGAGGCTGTTTTGGGGCTTGCTTGATGTTTTAAATTTGAACCACAAGAGGTTTCGTCAAGAGGCTTTGACGCAGGGTGGTTTCCAGATCTTGCTTCTCGCCCAGCTGATCCCAGCTGCCCGAAATGAGCCTTAAGCAAGGCTCTCTTGCTGTCAAGAGAAAACGGCTACCCAAAGTGGGCCCGATTTCTCTTAGATTCTTTGCTGTAGTTGTTGACATATTTTCTCGTGATGTCCGTCCTCGAGCAGGAAAGCCGCAATTCATTCATACGCCTTTTTATCATCCGGGCGTGGATTTTGTCTCCATCAAAAGACGGATGCCAATTGGGGCCAAAAAAATGGATGCAATCCCTTTTGCGGGTCTCTTTGGGGAGAACTCCCACCAATTTTTGGCTGGTTTCAAACTGCAACCAAAAGGAAAACCACCAATTTTCTGGGTGGTCGCGGTCCCCTAAAACAGGACCCGCCCTTTTCCGTGGCGGCTCCCGCGAGCCTGGGATTCAAAGCCCTCCTCGCTCCTGAAGGGAGGGTGGTTGAGAGCGCCTCTAGGTGTCTCGTCCTTTCTTCTTTCTTTTTTTTCGGAGGCATGCACTGCACCTGCTTTTGGTGGGTTTGAAGGGAGGGGATGTTTTTGCGTTCGCCTCTGATTGTCTCGTTTTTCCTTTTGTCGGAGGCTCGAGGTACGTCCCTCTCGTTTTTGGCGGCTTGAACGCCGGAGAAAAAACACAAACAGGATAACACCGAAGCCCAACATTCTCAGGGCTTTTCTTTGACTCTCGCCTTCTGGAGACATCGCTCGGAAACAGGGCCTGGTGTTTGTTTTGTTCCTTTTTCGGGGGCCCAGGGTGAATGAAAAAAATAACACCGGGCCCGGGAGCAAGCCAACAAAAGTGTTCAGCCGGATGGACGTGGGGTGCTGTTCGGTTTGGAGTCACCAGTTGCCCACTCCCTGGGTCAAATATGTAAAATGAGTGAATCCATAAGAAAGCTGCCAATGTGAATCATAATTGTAACAATCATTATGTAAAAAAGAAAGATATGTGTCTAATGATTATAATCAACATAATGAAAAAAAATAAATGATAACAACCATCATAGTAATAATCTAGTAGCAATAATAGTAATATTAATCATCATACAATTAACAATAACACCGGCTCCCTCGCTCCTCAAAGGTGGGTAGACTGGCTACCGGTTGCTTAGGTTCCTTTGGCTCCAATAGACCAAAACGGTCTCCAGATCGGACATCGGCCGCGGGGTATCCCCCTGGTCGCTTGGACACACACACACACACACACACACGCACACACACACGCACACACAAACACACACACACACACACACACACACACACACACACACACACACACACACACACACACACACACACACACACACACACACACACACACCAAGCTCCAACCCTCTATCTAGCCAGAAAAAAAGAAGTTTGAGAACCTGCTTCAGGGAGACGTAAAGTTCGATTTGGGACAATTTGTCGGCAGGTGCAACCATTTTATTTTTGGCGCCCCACTAAAGTGCACATCCATTCCTTTGACACATACAACAAGCAAAAAAGCACAACGCTCACCTGCGGCCCCTGTAAAGTTCAGTCCTCCGAGAAAAAAACAAGAAGAAAACAAGCCGAGGGATGCCTTCAGTTTGTTTTGGATAAAAGCACCAGTGCCATCTCAGTTGCCCTGTGTAGAAAAAATGATTCTCTTCTCAGGATTGACCCATTTGCGCGGGAAACCCACCAAAAAGCCGGAAAGGGTGCCACTGAAGAACTGCAGCTGCGGTTCCCATAACAGCTTCCCATGGGACGACCAGTCCAAACCATGCCGAGTGCCGCCCTGTACGATCACAGAGGTCCAGTCCGGCGAATGCAGTTTTGCCCCAAAACAGGCGTCATGGGCATGCACCGAAAATCTGACAAAAAAAAACTTAGGTGTGGACAAAAAAAACACCTGAGCTACAGACAACATGGATAAACCAACGATACAATGAAGCCAAGCCCTTACAACTGCCAGATGGGCGCTCCTCTGCTCGTGCAGTACCTGCCCGTCTCGCCGCCTGACAAGATGTGCCTACACACAGAATGGGGATGTCCAAACATTGAGGAACTTTTGGGATGGTGAATTTGATTTGAGGCAAAGGAGAACCACACAGTTGTTACCCTCCATTCTTGGAAGCACCCAAACCTGGCTGTTCAAGCCTGTAAACCACCCTGTTGGCTCAACCATTTTTGTTTATTGCCTCAACTCTGGGGTCTCGGCATGCAAGCGACCTGCAATCCCGGGAGGAGAGAGTTCTATTTTAGGCAGGCAAAACATGTGAGTAAGGGTATATGTCATGGGGGAACTCCAAAAATTGTGGGTGTCCCTGTGGTGTCCCTTTCAAACCCGAAAGGAGAGCCCTAAAAACCGACACAGCCCGGCTGGTGAATTTGCAGGGGCAAATACCACAAAGAGGGTGAGAAGGATCCTTCCCGCGCTGGCACTGGCATGCTGCAGGTCCGCAGATCAAAACACAAAATGCCTGAGACAGGGATCCTTACATTATACACCCAAACATTGCCTTGTCAATGGTGGATTCCCCTTATTTTGTTGGCACAGGCCATGTTTCGAATGGTGGCAAAATGAATTTCTTTCAAGGCGCCCTGCTGAGAGGTGGCCAAATCCAATCCGGGGGCATTCACCAAATCAGCTTGCTCGAGCAAGAAGAAAGGGCCACGAGAACAAGCACCACCCGTGCGAAATCAAATCTGCTGCTCGAAGGCGATGTCGGTGCTTCACTGGGAGATGTCCGATATGAAGCACCTCACACGTGCCAAGTGGTTGCTACTTTCTTTGAGCACTTGCCAGGGTTCCGAAATCTCATGCAGGGGTGGATAATATCACTGACCTTAGGGTAATTACTTAGATTCAGTCTAAACTAAGCCTCGACTTGCATATTTACGAGATATGTAAATCAATAGTGTTCTATTAGTTGGTAGATTCGTCAAACAAAAAAGCTCCGGCGTTTTCCATGAGACATGTTCTGGGAAAGCATTGAACTGCCTCTGTGCTCGGGTCGACATACCCACCTCACCCTACCCCACCCACCCTCTCTGGGTCCTCCAATAAAGAGGTTAGAAGAAGTTGGTACCCGTTGTTTTTTCAGTTTGTCTATTTTAGTAGGGAAACCCTCCCAACCAATTGCTTGGGGGACCTCGCCTCGCCTCACCTCGCCTCACGCGCGTCTGGGTGGGCCGGAGCTTCACGGACAGCAGCTGGTCCGCATCCGGCCTAGCGATGCTCCCAGCTCCCTCCCCGTTCCCAGCACCCTCCATTGGCTTTTGGGTTCCAAGGAAAACATGAGAAGACATTTCCAGTAGTGAAATCGATTCCCATTAAAACCAACAGGGGAATATATATATATATATATTTATTTATGTATTCTTAAGCAAATGGAAGGCTCGCTTTCCGGAGCCGTCGCTCGAAACAAGCTTGGTTTTTGAAGGCGGCAGGGAACCTGGCCCACCCACTTCTTGGGAGTTGTTGTTTTTTTCCCGCAAAATTTGGGTTTTCAGGCGGCAGGGAACCCGAAGCAGCCCAAATGCATTTTGGGAGGCGATTTTTTTCGGGGGGATCCTCTCTTGGGGGTGCATGATGTGAAGTGAACCGGGTCGAGCACGGCGCATTCGAGGACGGCGACCGCTGGCGTTGGCATGGAAAGGGTCGCGACCGGCCAAATTGCTTCCATGTGAGTCACAATCAAAGCCCGGTATTGAAATGGTCGTACTCCCAGAACCATGGAAAGAATTCGGAAGGCGGCCGCACCTATTTATGGTTGGGATTGTCCCTTACTAACCTTCAGCTCATGTGAAGTTGAAGCAAAAGCCAGCCACCTTCTTCCCCTCCCCCAAACAAACCGAAGGAACCTGGCCTTAAAAGTGAACCTCATATTATATGGGCTTGAGCCAAACAAACATCCCACATCTCATCCATTGCAGCAAATGTCAAAAGTCTAAACATGGCAAACAGTTTGAAAGGCCCGAAATTGAACCCGCGCATATCCAATCAAGGGGTGCCAATCAATGCGTCCTTCGATTCCACTGCAAGGAATCTGAACATGACACGCCCAGGACGCGACGGCTGAGATACTTTTTCTTACAGCCCGTACTGTGTACTTTTCCTGTTCCTCTGCCTGCAAACCAAGCACGGGACTGATGCTAAGGACCCTCAACAGAAGTGTAAGAGTATAGAATTCACGCACATGCGTGCATCGTGTCTTAAGCACGCAAAAAACTACATCGTGCATCCACTGGGACCAACTGCCGTATTTCTACCCACGGCAGAGTGGTCCGCTCGGAATCTGTACACGTTCTGTACAAGTTCTCCGCACTCACGCTGGCGAGTCCCGCGAGGGCCCGTGCGGATTCATAAGACTTTTGGGAGCGCGTCGTGTTGAAATCGAGCCGTGGCAATGGCCTTGGCATGCCTTGGCCATGCCAAAATACCTGAATCAGACCAATCGACACTTGCTCCGACGCCCTCCCATGGCGGAAGCTTTACAGGGCCGCCAGGCAAAAGTAAACCCCAAGCCTCTTGCGGGGCAAGAAGTTTCGCTCCACAAACGGCTTGGGCGTCACCGAGACACGCCCCGTTCGAGATAACGACCGCGCGCCTGAGCCGTATGGAATGCCTCAGCCGCCCTTCCAATTCACAGAAGGAACCCAAAAAAATTGGAGCCTCCCCTGCACTTGCGAGTTTTGGGCCCCCCAGGTTAAACTGCAGGTAGAGAGTGTGGGCTACTTGGCCAAGCAAACATGAACCGACCATGAGTTCAATCTTGGCGAACCTGAAACCCGGGCTGGGGACCCCCGTCTTTGGGGATGGGAGCCAACCAAAAAGCGAGATGCCATGGTGAGCCTTTCAACAATCCACAGAACATGGAGGCTGAGCAAGGAAGGGAGGAAGGAAGGAAGGAAGGAAATTCAACACTCAAAGCGAAGCATGTCTCACCAAAGCCCAAAGCTGCACCCCCAACCGAATATATATATATATATGTGTGTGTGTGTGTGTGTGTCACATGTCAGAAACCTGAAATGAGGAATCACCAAGGAACCTTCATGGGCGAGCAAGCAGTTCTACCCGTGAGGAAAAAAATGCCCGCATGCACCGTGGCAAACGAACGGGCCAAGGGAACCCTGACTTTGGCTGCGGGCGTTTTCCCAGCTCAATCTGCACAAACCTTCGAGCCTTTGGATGCTCAACCTCCTTCGCAAGCGGGTGGAAAAACCAACACCAACCCTGGCTGCCCCTGCAGAGACAAAAAACTGGCACCCAACAAACAACCAGGCAATCAACAAACAGAGAAAAACCAGGCACCAAAAGCCCTGGCACCTGCGCACCTGCAGGGAACAAAAACTGGCGCCCAACAAACAAACCCTCAATCTCCTTTTTGGCAGTGGAGCCCTTTGAGGGTTTCCATATGGCTGTGAGTCAAAACCCTGTACCCCTGGTGAACATCAAAATAGGTGGCAAATGGATGTTCATCCACTTCAAAATGGAGATGTACCCCATAGGTTATGCAACCCATGGCCACACGAATTGACCCAAACGCATGGAGCCAAAAGGCACCTCGGCGCGCGCCGAGGGCGCCGGGCCTCATTCGCACCACTGGCAGGTGAGCTCAGGGACGCAGAGGCAGCTGCCGCAGTCGAAGAAGTCCTGGCCAAATTGAACGAGGGGAGACCCACAGAATGGGCCGCACAGTCCTGGGGCCACATTGGGTCATCGGTCAAATCTTCGGTTCATGTTGTACTGCAGCTTGGTTGACGTTGGAAGGGGAGCAACAATTGAGAAAAATGGGCCCACGAAGGCGTCACTGGATAGTTGGCGCTGCGCGAGCTTCTTTGTGGACCACCATCTGGCACGTTTCCGGCGAATTTGAGGGCCAAGAAAATTGCAGTATGTAAACGGCGCGCTTGGACATGACTGACAGGCAAGCACAAGCGCGCACGGACCTTACACCCGGAAGATGGACAGCTGATGGGGACGGCAAAGCAGACCCATCTCTGACTTCAGCGTGAAAACTTTCAGGGGTCTTCATGGACTCGTCCACCTTCACCATGCAAGCAGAGTCAAGCAGTTGCCTTGATACCCTTGGACATGTCATGGCTCGGTTCGCACAGATGTCAAGCGAACGACCCAAGCCGAACGCCTAAAAGTAACACCACCTGAAAACAGACACCATCAGTACTTGGGGTGGCCACTTGCGTCGACCAGGCACCCGCCGGATGCACAGCAAGTGCCAGATCAGACTCCAAGACTCACCATCTGAGGGGAACCCACGCAACTAGAAAAACAAGAACATGTGCCACGCAACTGGGACTTGCCTTTTGGAAAGGAAAGCCCTGCGAGTACTGACAGTCCATAGTCCGGCCTCCGGGCAAAATGGCACAGCGGAGGGCCGCAGCGTCACGTTCCTGGCCCAGAAAAGACGCGGTTTGGAGAAGGGTTCAAAGTCCTTCCAAACCCCGTGCTTCGTCAGACTCTTAGACCTTGCTGGTGCTCAGTAGGGAATGATAATTGGAATCACCCCTACTAACTCCGTCCAACTGGTGGTTTCTGTTAGGGGGACCTGTAGACCAAACAAAGGCTAAAGCATGGAAGCTGCAAACAAATTGTGCCCGCCCACCGATTCACATGGAACCTGACGTTCGGGGGGGGGGGTCCTGGTTTGGATCATTTTTGGTTAAAGGAACCGGGTCCCGAACGTCAGGTTCCATATTAATTGGTGGGAGGGTAACCAGAACCAAAAGGCCGGCAGGCTAAAAGAGTTTGTGTCCCCTTGGGCTGTGGCGGCCCTCGCTCAGCCATGTTGGGGTTGCTGGGTCCAAAGTCGCAACATGACCTTCTTCTCGGCGGTTTGAAGGAAAACCACCTCTCAAAATGCAACCACTTCAAACACCCAAATACTGTGTTCTTTCCCGACTACAACCAATTGAGGAAACTGGATCAAGGTTCACTTTGGGTTGCCCTTCAACGTCTCCCAGAAAGTATGTCCTCATGAGATGGTCCGCTGTGTCGAGAACGGAGCAAACAAGCCAACTTGGCTTGACTCTTGCAACCCTCCCCGATGAAGAAAGCTGCCTTGATGTCAACAGCGAAGGATCCCCTTGGAGTAGCCCCAAGTAAGAATCAGATATCATAAGGGGACCTGTTTTATGGACCCCCCAGGTCTCGGAACAACCGAATCCCAAAGATTCAACACAGATCACAGGCTCTGCTCTGCGCCATGGTCGCCTTCAACGTGCAGCTGAGAAGCTTGACAAACGCTCCAACCCGCATCTCCCTGCAACCATCCCAGGGTAGCCTCGTGTTCACCTTTTGGAAAAGTTATACCCACCAAAAAGTGTAGGTTCCTCTGAGAGGCATGTACTCAAAATACTACTTGCTATCATTCACAAAGCCGGCACAAGACATCCGAAAGGTGCCTTCTTCATACATGAGCTCATCTGACCTCCAGGTGAGCTCGCACTAAGTTGCGCAGAAGGGCGGGTATGCCAAACTCGACCCAGAAAAAGCTGCCAACAGCCACCCTGGCCAATCCCGTCCCATCTGAGAAGATCCAACCCCTTTTTCTACCCCACCCTCCCACCCACCCCAGGTTTTTCCTCCAAATATGGCCTGAACAAGGTCGTAACTGCCCTCAGATCCCCCACGAAAAGTTTAACTTTTTGTGGGTCACTAAACACTAAAAGGCTAAAAGCTAAGGAACCGGATGGCTGGGAGCCACCCAGGTAAGTGAGTGTCTAATTGCGAAACATGAGGGGTGGTGGCATCCCATGACCTTCCATTAGCTTAAGCCCCCTGGAAAAAATGAGACAATGTGTCCAGCAGTGAAATCGATTCCCTTTAAGACCACCAGGGGAAACATATATATATATATATATTCATTTCAGCAAATGATATGGACGCCTATTCATAAACTGGGGTGTATGAAAATCCGGGGTCAACCTTCGTGACCAGCTCTGGCCCCGCCCTCTAGGAGGAGCAAATGGAAGTGACCCTCCCGTCCGTCCTCGCCGGCTCCAGGGGAATCACTTCCTCGAAGCCGCACCACTGGCAGGTCTCCTCCGGAACGCAGAGGCAGGCGCCGCAATCCTCGAGAGGCGAGACCGGTACCAAGAACGACTGGAAGTAATCAAAACCCCGGCGTCCAGAACCACGCTTCAGGAATTGAGAAGGCGGAGGTCGCGAGCTATTTGTGGTTGGGATTGTCCCTTGCTACCCTACCCGGGTTTTGAGTGTGGCTCATTTGGTGAAGACCCCTGGAAGAAATAAAAATATAAATCCAGTAATGATAAAAGCCTTTTAACACCAACAAGGGAACACATATTCTTAAGCAAATGGAAGAACACACCAAGTACAAACTGGCCAACACCAAAAAATCATATACGTTGGTATTGGCAGAGTAGCGGGTGACGAGTTGTTGTTGCAGGAACACTCAAATCGTACACTAAAAGTCCCTAGTTGCCTGACCAACCCACCCTAAAGAACCTTGCTTCTCGACTCCTCCACATACCCCGCCAGTGTCGGCCTGCCTTTTGCTCCTTAGTTAGGGCGGCACACCCTTGCTACACGGACATGTTAGTTTGCCACACAGACGTAATTTGGGAAAAGACATGGCACATGTGTACAATCTGTGGCCGATCAACATTCCTGGCCCCAAATCATCATGGGTAGCTTCTCCCATTTAGTGGGAGGTATAATATGATCCCAGGTAAAGGACCTTTGGAGTAACCCCCTAAGGCAAGGCAAAGCAAAGCAAAGCATCGTCGAAAGGCGTTGCCATCAAAACCCACCGCGCCCGGCTGTTCAAGTTCCGCTTGCGGGCGAAACCAAAAAACATACGACAAACCGACAAACCCCGAGCAACGTCCTTTCAATGCAATCGTCCAATGCCTTCTCAAATGCAGATAACACCGCTCCACCCCCTGCAGTGGTCCTTTTGCCGAATCCTCTTTGTTGGGGGACAAGTCTGCCATGCCGTCAAGAGAAAACCTGGCTCACTATTGGCCCAAAGACCACAAAGTTCGCAGCAACAGAACCCGCACAGCATCCCACACTCCAAGGTCTGCACTTACAATGATGGTGCGGTTGGGTGGATTGGGTGTGTGGGGTGGGGTGGGGTGGGGTGGGGTGGGGGTGTGGGGGGTGGGGTGGTCATAAATGGCCCCGGCTTTCACCCGCAACTCGCGCCTTGAAGCCCTCCGGGCAGAACGGAACCTGCGGAAGCTGCGGAACTCGCGCACGTTCAACGCACGTGCAACGCATGGGGCTTCAAATTCCGCTGGGTGCTGAGCAACCTACAACGAAAAACCGGAACCCCCAAAGGAACTTTCTGCAAGGAACCAACCGGATCGATGCCTTCGTCTCTTCGTCTAAGCCACTGAGCTTCGCGGATCAGGACAAATGGTGAGGCTGCAAGCCCACTTTGTTTTGGTTCACTTGCGCAGACCGCCACAAGAACTCAACAACTTCTGCCAAAGGAGCCTATGGTGCTGGCTACATGCCTGGCCCGACATGTGGAAACCTCGTGGATTTTAAACACAACGCGGTTCGTTCGCGGCAGCCTCGTTGCTCGCAACTTGGTTGCTGCAACGACCCCCCTGCGTGTTGTTTTTTTCACTTTTGGGCAGTTTAGTGGAAAACCAACTTGATTTCCCCAAAAGTTAAAGTCTAAAGATCAAACCCAGTAGCAGTCAAGGCAAAACCGCCATCTGCAAATTCCCTCCGTGTCTCCCTCGGGTGCATGTCCATGGCGTGAAAGATCCGCTTTGGTGAAGCCATGGGCTGTGCCGAGCCGATGGGGACATGAGCCATCCTTCTGAGTTGAGTCATAATCAAAACCCGGTATCAAAACGGGTCTACCCAGAACCACGCTTCAAGAATTTAGAAGGCGGATATCCGCGACTATTTGTGGTTGGGAGTGTCCCTTGCTAACGTTCATCTACTCGGGTGTTGAGTGTGGCTCATTTAAACTTGAGGATGAACTTTGAGTGGTTGCACCCTTTTGGCGCACGTCACTTGCAAGTTTCTTTCTGACCACCTTCAGGCAAAAGATTGTTCATCGGAAATTATTTTGGCATCCTTTTTAAAGTCAAAAATAATCCGAGGATTTTCCACCGAAATTCCTAGCCGTTATCCTTGTGCTGTGCCTCTTCGCTGTTTTCATGCATCTCCATGACCAAACAAATCAAATCGCTCCCTTGGGCTTCTGATCGATGGTTTCGATTTCTGGACCATCCACAGAATTTACAATAATTCCAAAACCTGAAATAAAGGATCCCCATGTAAAGGATCTTTACCATGGTGAGCTCGTTTTACCCCCAGGTGAGCTCGCTATCACATAGGCAGAATGTCCAGTGATAAAAACATCCCTTTGAAACCAACCCACAGGCTCCCAGACGCAAACCAACCCTCCGACCCCCCAAAACAAACACACGCCACCGGCAGAGGTGTCCTTTTGGGGGAAACACAAAAAATGCTGGGGCTTCCCCGGTAAATGCGGAAAGAAAAAAAGGAAGAAGAACACAAAAAGCCCCACCCCTCCCAACCAGCGCCTTCTATCTTTGCCCGCAGACCTGACCTCAAAAAAGCCACCAGCGCCTTCCACCGGAAGGGGCCCGGAACAAACGAACGGCACCACGCGCCTGGCTGGGCTGGGCCGTGGCGTTCAGGCCCGGCGCGCCGATGCCCGGGGGGCACCAGTGGCCTGGGCCGCCGGATTCAGGGAACGCGCCCCACGGCGGACGGCGGCTGAGGGGGGAGGCTCGGGGCCCGTCGCAAGGCACGCGCCCGAAAAAAGGGGGAAGGCGGAAAACCAAGATGTCGCCTTTTGCTGTTCCATACTGCAAATAGCTTGCGAAAGCCAGATTTTTTTTTAAAAAAAAAGATGAGTCACAAAGAAAAAATCAAAGCCGGTCAGAAACCCAGGTTTCTGGTGATTCCCCTGCAATACCGACAAAGGTTATGATTGCAAGCCATGGTTTCAAACATAGTTGTGGAGACTCCAGTAAAGGATAGACTTGGGCCAGGTAAAAAGTCACTATTAGCAGCTGATTTAGAGGATTCCCTTGTTGGATATATCCTGTAAGGAACCCTGGTATAGTGTGCAAGTGTGTGTGTGTGTGTGTGTGTTGGGGAAGGGAGTGTCAAACCGAACAACTCTTGACTTGCTTCTTCCAAAAGCAGGTTGCCGACTCTGTTTCTCTTTGACATTGACATGTTGAAGGGGCTGGGGATGGAAAGGCACAAACGACAACATCGGGGAAGGGAAGCGAGGAGGACAAGGGAACATGTAAAATTCACAAAGTCTTGCTTTATTTAAAAAAAAAAAAAAAAAAAAAAATGAGAAAAAACATGAGATCATAAGTTCTGGCTACAATTCAAAGTCTTTGCCACGGGAGAAAAAAAATGAAAAAAGGAACTCACTCGCAAGTCTGGGGGCCCTATCTGAGACACGCTTTCACCAGCGTTTCTCGGCCGAGCTGCAAGAGGCTTCCGGCACGCAACGGCAGGCGCCGCCTCGATAGTTGGGGTGCAGTCGTGTCCATGGCCAAAAAAACACATGGGTATGATCATGGGGGCTGCGGCATGGGGGCTGGGGGGGAGGGAGGGGAGGGGGAGGGAGCCCCAAAAAACCCTGATGAAGGCCGTATGAAGGCCGTATGTAGGCATCCCTCCCCCTCCCCTCCCTCCCCCCCAGCCCCCACAATATGAAAGTTAGGGGACTCTTTGGTACATCATCTAGGTCGGATTCAGGTCCACTAGTCACTTTTGAGGTGGTGCCCTATTTAAAATTCATAGCCAAATAAGACGTGCAAGCCATATCAAAGTATGGAGGCATATAGAACCGTATATACAACCCCCCTCAATCCCTCACACACACACATTGCCCATGCAGTAGCGCATGTGCCAAAACGGGTTTCTTCAGAGCCCTTGTCCGACAGGCACGTGCCTGCAGGGCTACATGATTGCCTCATATGGGCAACATGTGCAACTAGGGGCTCCTTGTGGCTCGGCTTCGAAGAAAGCCCACGTCGAGGAAGCGCGCCACCGCCCCCTCCAGAATCAAAAGCCCAAGTATTCCCAACAGCCCAAAAACGCCCTGGAGCCCTCCAAAACTCTCCCAAGCCCCAAACCACCCCCAACGAGCCGAGTTGGGGTTAGAGACCAAATCCATAGCTTTCAGCAATTCAGGCACGACAAATCCTTTGAAACCCTCACACATGGAAGGGGCTAAAAGCTGTTTGCTGCTGGGGATAGAAAGCTGCTTGCTGCAAAAGCCATGGCTTTCTGTTGGTAACGAAACCTGAACGCAACCTGTCAGAGGACGCCGGGCGAGCAGCGCCCGAGATTCACTTTGGGTTCTTCTGAGATGGCTACACTGGGGTTATATAAGTTGTACAAGCCTATGGTACAAAAAACATGCAACATGTTGATAACAAACCTAAGATAAGTAAATATGAAGAACAAGAAGACGAAGAAGAAGAAGAAGAAGAAGAAGAGGAAGAGGAAGAAGAAGAAGAAGAAGAAGAGCAATCAAATAGGCCTTTGCCAATAAACCCAATCAAGCCAAGTACGCCCAACGCGGGGTAGTACCAAGCCGCAGTCCACGTTGCCGTCGGGGCAGCCCGGCACTTCCGAGGGGGTAAGGTTCAGCCTGGGGCGTCCGTTTTCCTACTGCTGCGATAGGTAGGGAATGAGAAATTCTAGGGCTAACTTCCATGTCCATTCTGAACCCAGAGATCCTTCTTTCCTGGAAAACCACCAACAACCCCTGGATAAATGCGGATGGGATTTTGAAAAGAAGGATGGCTGAAACGAACGGGGAATCAACCCCTAGAGAAATGGCATGAACCCAGGCTTTGGTCTTCTTAAAGGAAACCACCAGCAAGGGATTGTTTATAACGGGCTATCGCACCAGCAAGTGTTTTTGGTCTTGTCTCAAAGTAGACCCCGAAAATGGCTTCGGTGTTCCCTTTTGGTCTCCCCAAACCGACCTTTGAAGGAGTACCGAGCCTCAAAAAAGACACCCCGTAGAGGGAGCCACTGCAGGAGCACGGTCGAGTGGTTTGGTAGCAAACTGCCCCTTGTTTTGACACGAGCTGAGTGCCCCAATGCTTGCAAAGTCAACTTGGCAAAGCCAACTGCCCTGATGCGCTCACGCGCCCATCACAAGCCGTTGCGCAGCTTCAAACAAATCGCGACAAGAAGCTCTCAGCTCACTTGGCCGAATCAAATGTCCGACTCTGTGGCTCAGGGTTCCCTTAACAAAGCCCTTTGCATTTGTTGCCTGAACCCCTTTATGAAGGGTTGAATTTGGGCGGCCACACCCCCACCAGCCCACCAAAAACTGCTTTTTGGGGACCCACCTGTTATTATCCCCTTTTTTGGGGGTTGATCACTTGGAAGCCATACATTGAGCTAGTATTAGGTCCACTTTCTGGATCCAAGGCTTGCCCGTTTGAACAATCCTGTATCTCAGCACCCCCCCCCCACTGCTTCTTGGACAGTGCCAAGGGC